AGTCACTGCCGTTAAAGAATATACAAATGAAACGAATTTGATTTTATTAGTGTTTTATATATGTATATTAGTGTTTTATTGTATATATCGTACAGCGCTCTTCTCCATTGTGGATTAGTAGAGCTTATTCAGCATGACCTTCTGTCCCGTATGGATCTTCCTGATGTGATTGTAGATCGAATGCGACCATTTGCTCACATGGCCACAATATGGGCACTGAAAACGCGGCAGTGAGTCACATTCGTATCTATAATGCCGGTACATCGAGTAACTCTGAGAGAAGGACTTCTCGCATTTCGGGCAGTGATGCCTCCGGTCGTGCGAATCAATAGTGCTCTTCATCGTCTTATGTAAGTGTTGCTGCTGTTGCGATCTTCGCGACACCATCTGGGATAGCTCTGCCTTGTCCATCAGTCCGTTGTCCCATAATTCTGAAACCGATGTCGTCTCGTGTTAATGACAATTCGCATTATTCACAAAGATAACTGTTGGCACGCAACTATGACTGCACAATGGCTATACGCATGAAACAAGGAAACCGAGAGTCTCCTTCGTAAAAACGTTCGTGAAATTGTGTAATACGAACACAAGCCGTAATAATAATCGAATAGTAATAATTGTGTTGTCCAATACAACTGCATTCTGTCGACAAATTTTAATCCATATTTTTAAAAAATTTAAGCAGCATTAAGATATTCTAAGCTTATAATTACATCATTATTATATGCCTAACAAATTTATTGTCACGCGATAACGGAGCCTAATATATTCCTTGAACTCAAGAATTTCGAGAAAAAGAGAATAAACAATCACATAAATCTGATACATCAGGCTGGAACTGACAACTTATTCTTGAGAATCAACAAAGACTTACACAAAAACTCTTTACATTTTAGGTGATGTTAGATGTGATTACTTCAGTTCTATTCACACTTATTTACTACCACCAACTATATGTATATTACTATCAGTACGTTTCTTCATCTTTGTGTTCGTATTTATGATTAAAGATCTTGAGTCTTTGTAGCCATAAATACCTAGAAAAGAATATGTAACAAGTATATCCGTAACAAGTATATCGATTATTTTCATTATTAGCTAATTATTACGTAATTTTTGGCACAATCCTTACGCGAGATTTATCTTAAGTTCCAGTAGCGATATAACAGAAGAAACACATTTAGGTCTTTCGTGAAAATTTATTGCCATAAAATATCCCACACAATAATAGAATATCATTCAAATAATAGAAAGAATTCTCAATTCTTCTTCGTGTATTTTTATTTTTTACATTTGAGAATGCTATGTACAATACAGTCTTGAATTCTTTAAAAGGATAAAATTGCAGGTTTCAAAATCGGAGCAGCTCCGGTTACGCAAATTAAATTAGCAATAACTTAATATAAAGATATTTAAAATACAACACTAAAAAATACTTTGGAACCAATCACAAATCGAATACAATCAGTTATCATATATACAATCATATGTATACATCTCTTTAACGTTTCGCACAATAATAAATTATTTTCTGAAATTCTCTAATAATCATACACATGCACACACAGAGAGAAAAATAATTCCCTAGCGCAACAGATTTTTTTATGTTGCTGCAGCAAAATCTATCAGTTTTTATGTGAGCAGCAATAAAATCTGCTAAAAGTATTAATTACTATATGCTAAATATAATTTTGCTAAGACTTTACTGTAAATTATTTTGAGGCAAGAATAAATAAATGTTTGTTTAACCCTTCGTTGACACTCTCTCTCTTTCTCTCTTCGATCCTCTTTTTTCGATCGCTTTTTAGCACACTGGGAAAATATTTAAACAACTGGATGCATTCTTATTTTAAAAAATCCAATCAATAAAAATTATGGGTCAATTTCAAAGTCAGAATACATTCAAATAGTTTTTGATTGAAATTTCATTACAGTTTTTGTAAAAAAAATTCTTGAGTTCAATGAATAAAGAAAAAATGAGTAAAATCTTTGAAAAATTGTAACTTTTAAAAAATTCAATATTAAAAGTTAAAAATTTACAAAATTGTTCAGATATGATACTTTGAAAAAAAAATTAGTTTGTAAGTTGGTTTTGGATAAAGTGTATTTATTTTGCATATTAAATGTAGACTATTTTAGGGATTAAAAAAAGAGAGATTTTTTTATAAACATTGCATTTTTGTTCTCCAAAATAAAAGAAAATTGAGTTTCGGAGAATTAAAATAATTTTGTGGGTGGTTCACACTCAGTATGTCAACGAAGAGTTAACTATTAAAATTTTTTTGTATTATGAAATAACACGAACAAAGCACATTTGCTTGTGTAATCCATGATACGCAATACGCATCTAAATCACATCATTAATATCATCAATAATACGTACTTTTAAAAAGTAAAATAGCACTCTCTTGCCCTGAAAAGAGTAGATCGATTAGTGAGCGCCCTGAAAAGAATATACAGTAGCAACAATAATTTTGTTACAGCAGCAAAATTACTTTTCTCCGTGCGTGTAAACTTTTTCCACTGATTCTACTGATTCATCGTAAATCGGAGAACAAAATCATATCATTCAAGTCATGAAGACGACTACACAAACGTAAATGATAAAAAATTAATAAAAACTCCCATCAGTCAATTCGGCGAGTAGATCCGGAAGTACAATCTCTTCGATTTTTCACACTGGTTCACGTTCATCGTGGCGAAAACGCCAAGAGCTCAGTAAAGTTTCACCAGAGTTACTTGCTCTTTCGGATGCATACATCTTACATGCTGATAAATATTCGAAGTCTTCTTGCTGCAGAGATTGCAGTATGGGCACTTATACCTGGGCGCTTTGCCGCACTCGTACCTGTAATGACCGAGCATGGTATCCCGTCTCCCGTAACCGTTGTTGCAATTGGGACAGTGGAATTTGCCGGTGCTCGAATTGTACTGTGTAATATCCCGTTTCTTCACGTATTTCTTCCGGTGCATCATAAATTCCATGGGTCTGCCACCTACAAAAGATCATGCCACGGTCAACATTGTTATTCACTCAGGATATGTCTCGGGAACATCCTGTTCAAGGATGAGAACGCACCAAGATTCCATGCAGAAGGAATATTCGCGATAAATAAGTGAAATATAGAGAGGAAAAACAGATACTGAGAGAGAGAGAGAGCACAAATGAACCAGAGAAAAGACGCAAAAGAATGTAAAAATCTGAGTCACGTAAACGTAACTCTTGAGAGCAAAAGTCGTTTTTCAATAGAACATTTTTATTAAAACTTGAAAACAAGCGCACATTCGGTCGCTTTACATGACTAAGTACATTGTCAGGTAATTGAGATGTAATGACTTTCTATATTATTCAATTATCGCAGATCTTCCAATAAAAAAGATACATCTCAAGTAGAATGTTAATCTATTATATAATTTCTTTTACTCAAGTCGCCATCGGAAATTGATAGTCAACTCGAGTTCTCCGAGAAAGAAATCATTTTCACTAATAAAGTTCGTCTTATATATTATTAAAACGTGGTTCGATCTTGCACAAAAATATCTCGTGTATTTGTCTAAATACAAAATCACGTAATTTGAAACACATTAAAAAATAAAAATATGAACTTTTGTTGTGCTATTAATTATCACATTAATCCTCTAGGAACAACATCGTTTTATCATTAAAAAACCAATTTTTTTTTATTGCTTTTGCTTAAAAATTATTAGTAAATGAAGAATCGTGTAGGCTTTCTTACTGATAGAAGTATTATATATCAGTGTTTAATGCTACAAACATTTCCATCTTCAGTTCTTAAATATAACTAATTTGCACAAATCCCGATTTTACTTCGAATTTGTTCTGAATTTTAATTTTAAAGTGAAAAAAATTTATAACACTCGCCCCTAGAGACTTAAGCAAATATTCATCTATAATATATATGTAATATAATATTTAAATTATATAATATATAAAACTTTTTTATGGAACTGGATGAATGAAGGAACAAAAAACAGTGATACAATAACGAGAAAAGGATAGAACTTAAAACGGAAATCAATCTTCCCAAATCCGTTTGAACACTCGGGATAAAAATACAAATGTTATTCTTGTATTGTAACATGCATTACATTCAAAATACATATGTAATAAATGAAAGTAACATTTAATAATCGCTAACAGGTACAAAAAGACAGTATTCTTCTAGGAATGAGGCTCCAGTAGAATAGACATTTATCCCAGCTTGTCTCGTGACTACCGTCAGTGAAAAAGACGCAAACGCGTGGGCACACGGGACGAATCACGCGTTAAATCGACGTTCGTACTGGGTGCCTTTAATCGCGCGTGCCATGCGTGGCCGCGCGACTTGTCCTAGAAGAGCGTATTGCAGATGACCAGCTTCGACGGATGCTTGTGCCTGATATGGTCCTGTACATTGAACTTCTTTTTGCTAAGCATGCCGCAGTAGGGGCACTCGAAACGTGGCGGCTTGCCACAGTCGTACTTGTAATGGGCCGTGACGGCGCTCTTCGTAGAGTAGCTTTTGCGGCAGCGCGGACATTGGTAGCGAATCCTCATCTTCCTCGGACCCCTACTGCCCATTCCGCAGATCCCCTCGGGCCACGGTAACATTTGTAGAAACGCTGAAAAAGACATGGAAGTGCGCGATTAGCTCACTTAGATGCGGCATGTAGGAAGGAAATCTTGTAGGAGTAAGTTCGTGATTCAGACACTCTTTTTTTTTTCCTCTCTTTCTGCCTCTCAAACATTCCGAAGCAACAACACGCAGCACATTCGCGTGAGAAAACAATTCTTGTAAAATTTCGAGGGCTTGGAGAATTCAGAAAAGAATTGTGAACTTCTCTATATGTATGCCGGCAAATACTTGAAGAACTGATACAACAAACTATTTAAATCAACTCAAGGAAGAGAATATTCCCGAGGGGGGAAATTATTTTAAGTGATAACTTTAATTGCATCCTCACGTATATGAGGACAGAATGATTCGCTTTGTTTAGTAAGAAACGAACAAGTAAAGCAGTTAAAGGTATCTTCAAGCTGTGCACGAACGAACTGCGCGATAATTTATCGATCAAGTATCGAATGGTGACGAAGAACTAGATGAAATGTGTCTATCAAGATAGAGTGTTAGTCCGAAGAGTAATGTGCGTCTAACTACTTCAAAACTCACGGTTGCTATTGTTTCCACAAATTATTGTCCAAGTGATCCACGATCTAAGCATGTCTTATTGTTCTGCAAAAAAATAGAGATGTTAATAAAATAAACAACAGTCAGTCTACATAAAATATTCCAAAAAACAATATACATATCTAAAAAAAATATTTAATTAGATTCATCGGTCGTTTTCGAATTTCTGTGTAAGAATTCCTAAGTTAAAAAAATAATTTTTACATTTGTTAAGAGTAAAACTAGGAATAAAGGATAAAGATCAGGGTGATTATATTCTATAAACCTCTTTACTTATTCTTAACATTATTAATACTTTCTTTTAAAAAATAAATATATTACATAATATGCCGTTTACAGCCTTTATTTCTGGTTTGTTGAGTACTCACATTACGGTCTTAAAAGATACTGTATTTAATATTGTTTATGTAAATATATTTTATTTAAAATGTAAAAAAAACTTCAAATTATTCCAAGTTTAATAATAAAATTACGTACTATATTACAATTCATTCTTGAGAGACAGAAATAGGTAGTGTGATAATTTTAAAGCCTACGGCATATATGTACAAAAACGTAAAGCTGCTTACGTCCTACTGCTTTACATTTTTGTATGTGCCATGAATTTAAATTTCGATCCAGGATGCTTGACGCATATATGCTAGTCGGGATTTTTTATGCGTATATGCTTGTCAACATTGTTAGATCGTTTTATATCGCAGTAAGAACACTTATGTATACCTTGACGGGCAATCACATTCGAATCTTAAATGTCGCAATATGTGATACATATGCTGATAGTTCTTATTGCACTTCGTATTGCAGACGTACCTATTATAAACAAATTCATTTTTCTATGTCATTAATAAAAAATTAAAAAACAAAAATTTATTTAACAATTTATTAATAAATTAATATTTCATTTTTATTCAAATTATTTAAAATCATGTACAAAAAAATTACATGACAAAAAAGTCGCAATTAACGAAAATATAATTCTAGTTTGTAAGACATAGTTGTAGTATATCGTGATTACATACAAAAATTAAAAGTATTAAGAATTAATCTATTAAATAAAAAAATAACATATCTAATTCAAGAAAATAATACTACAATATTTAACTATTTCATGCTTTACACATACATGATTAAATCGCTTTCCATCTCATCTCGAATTTATGTGCAAATGCTTTTGTTTTAAATTCCTTGATAATATTTTTGAATTTGTTGTGCATTCGAGACCGATGACAAATCTGAAAGCAAAAATAAAATGATGAAAAGATAGATCATGTGACGAAGTACGCTGACATTCCGAGACTGATTGGAAAACGAAACGAATATCACAAAACACAAGAAACTCGTAGGATAATCTTTATTAGTCTCAATTGTATATTTTTATCATATATTATAAAAACAGTAAACGTTTATTCTGACAATAAATTAACACAGTTAATAACTAACAAAAGTGCAGATTTCGATGCTAGAAGAACATTAAAGAGTAATCGTTCGTTTATAATCCTTGCTTGATTGATATTATCTTTTGAACATTTATATACAAATTGTCTGTCTACAAATTTACAAGTCGCATCAATGTGAAGATCAGTTCGGATACAGAATTTTTCAAGAATAAACTTCTCTCTCGCAGAGACTATCTCTGAATAAAAAAAATAAAAAATTCACATTATTCGCCTTAACACCAGCCTCGAGAGAAACCTCTATGTATCGTCTATATCATATACCGCACAAACTTTACGATTTTCGTCGCAAAAAACTACGTAAATATAGATTGCTCCTCAAATGTAATTCACATTATTTAAATTTATATATTAAAGTTGAGAAAAAACCATTTAGAATACTTCAGAAATTGAATACTTCAGGAATTTAATAATGCATATTTTCATAATATGCAGAAGTTTCCATACAAAAAACAAACTGAAAAAGTGGCATTGCGAAGTTGATAGCGAAGATAATGTATATCTTCGATTTCACGCTAATATGCCTGTACACGTTTGATCTCGTTATTAAATACAATAAAAACATATAAATCTGAGCTGCTAGTCATAGCTGCATTCCATTTGACGTTCACAATGCTTATATTATTTGTCCTTGTTTAACATTTGCTAACAAAGATGA